GACTTATTTTAGGTTTGCACCGCCCGGTACCGGTTTGCATTCCTCTGTGTAACAGATTACACAGATGCCCCAGACCTGCCAGTCATGCTGGTGCGACCATAGTTACAGGTATCCTTTCCCAACTGATCAACAGAATGCTGTCGCCATAATACTGTCTATATATTACATAGGTGATTATCCAAATTTCGTCATTGGTGGGTTTTGAACTCACAACCTACCACTTGGGGGTATAACAACTTATTCACTTCACTAAGTCACCACACTCTAAACCAATTATTAAAAATATTAGATTTACATAAGAATAATATTTAAAATAATATATAGATTTGCAGATCAATAGTAAAGTAGTTATGCTTCCAGGTCACTAATTGCAAGGTTGCTGGTTCAAGTCCAACAGGAGACAAAAACTGAGTTATGATCACAATTGTTAATTAATCACATCTGATGATACACTATAAAAATAGAAAAATCTTTAGCACCCAGATTCTTAAATAGTAATAAACCTAATATAAGAAAGTCATGATAATTAGAAGGCTAAGAATAATAATAAAACAAAGCAATCCCTAATTAGAAATAATCCTGATAAAATTCCAGAATAATAGAAATACAAAATCAATAGATAGTATCATAAATATATATAAATAAAAATATAAAATATAGGTGAAGTCCTGATAGAAGGTTCTGTGAACTTGAAAAATTCGAACTAATAAAATAACCACTAACTGTGGCCCACTAGTGACTATACAGTAGGAAATTTAAAAAAAATTAAAATAATATATATTTATAAATATATATAAGTGAATGCAGATCAAAATTCTAACAAACAAAATCTTAACAGATTATAATCTTGACAAAAAAATTACAATAGTTGAAAATCTTGACAATTAAAAATCCCAACAGTCAGAATTTTTAGATAGAAAATTTCAAGTATAAAATATGTTTAAAGTGAAATAGGTTCTTAAATTTAATTAATTTTAAAATTAAATCACTTTAGATAGTGGTTGAAATAAGGTTTGCTATAGTCTATTAAATTTTTTATCAGAGTTTTTAATTGTTAGAATTTTAATTGTTAAAATTTTTGATTGTTAAAATTTTTAGTTGTTAAAATTTTTTTATCAAGATTATGATCTGTTAAGATTTTGTTTATCAGAATTTTGACCAAACCTATATAAGTAATATTATTTATTATTATTAATTATAAAAATTAAAAATATTATAAATATCAAAATTATAAAAATATATTTATTAATATTAAATTTTAATACAATCAAATAATAATAAAGAGAATATGGCAACTTAATGAAGTAGATAAGTTGTCAACCTCCCAAATGATAATTTTTGTGAGTTTAAAACCTACTAACTGTGAAAATTTGAATAACCATCTATGTAATACATAGATAATATTATAACAACAACATTTTGTTAATCAGCTAGAATAAGATATCTATAACTATAATTATACTATTATGATTGACAGGTTACAAAACATCTATACAATCTTAGTTATACAGAAAGATGCAAACCAATACTAAGTAGTGTAAATTTAAAATAAGTTCTTGTAGCTATATAAATTTATAGAACTAAAAAAAACCAGAGCCTACTTATAAATACTAAATAGAAAGATAGCATGGATCTTTGACAGTACTACTATAAAGACTAAATCTAAAAAATAGATATCAATATATAAGAATTAAAAAATAAGAATCTTGAATAAAGGGTACTACCAACCAGGCTATCAGATTTTGGATCAGAGAAAAAGACTATTAGGCTTGACTCAATATACCAAGAACAGGTCATAGTTCTTCTAGACTATTTGAACTAGAAGTTTAAGAACCAAAGCAAGAATATACTAAAAGTACTAGAGATATGTTATAAAGTCAGTGCTAGGATCTGGGTAAACTTTGTAAAGATAGCTTTTGTTAATAGTCTATAAAGTAATAGGTAATTAACAAAAAAGACTCTTTGTACCTTATTGGCAGATATTGTATTCTGAAATATGTAATGGCCTAAGAACCAGTACAAAAGAGTAGGTACCATACTGCTCAGACAATATATCAATTAGATATATATGAGGTTAGTTGGTGTATTTCATGACAAGATGAATGATCAGAGATTTTAAATAGATAATCTTCTAGTAGGTTATAGGAATAGCATCTAGTGTAGAACCCTAAAGCAGACTACTTAAATAGGCAACCAAAAGTTACACATGTAATAACTAACTCCAACAAAAATCAATAAAGTTCTGCCACAAAGTATAACCTTTAACACAAAAAAAAAATATAATAATAATAATTAAGTAATTATACAAATTGATTTATTTACAGAAAAACATACTATACTAGATTTGAATACTATAAAGAAAAAATCTATTATTAGGCTTTTAATATTCAGTTTATTTACTGAATGTTTTTATAAAAAATTTAACATCAGACTTTTAATTATATTAATATAATAAATGCATCTGAAATCTATATTGATTATTGTTAACTGTAATTCATAAAATTACAAAATCAAATGTAACTTAAAAATAAAAAATTATAAATAAGATTTTATAATAGTTAGGTATTTTACATAATATAAAAATAATCTGCAATATGAGTAAGATGATTTACAGGTTTTTTCTTTTCGTCACTCATATATTAAGAGGTTGTTCTAAAACTATTTCTATTTAAAAAAAATATTTTTTATTATCTGAAAACAATAATCAGTTTTAAAAAAAACTTTAAAATATTTTTACAAAAAAGTAATTTTATAAATAATTAGTCTAGAAATCTGTAGGAATTTATTAAGTTTTAAAAGTTAGTTGTATATAAATAACAACACAGAAAAGAAAATATAAAAGAGAAATAAAAATGAATAAAGAACAAATATAATATAAAATAAATAAGAAAAAAGATTTAAATAAAATATTGTGAATATGTCGCATCTGAAGTAGCGATTTATCTAAAGTAGCGCCTGGCTAAAATTAAGCCCTGAAGTTAGATCTTCATGCATGCATTAGATTTTAATTTTAGCCAGGTCGCTACTTTAGATATATAAAGTGGCTACTTTAGATAAATCGCTACTTCAGATGCGACAAATATATGAGGTTATAAAATAATTGATAAAAGTGTAAAAAATGTGTCAATAGTTTGACAATTTGTGATTGATTAAATGCAATCAATACATGTAAAGTTTTTATTTAATAAAATATTCTTTGGTCATCAAACAAAATAAAAATGAAAAAGTCTTATTTTATAACTTTAAAAACTGAAATCAATAAATTTTAGAATTCATTGCATAGAATCAGACTAAATCTGATAAAGGTAAGGTTTTACTCTCTATTACTCATTTCTATGTAATACAAATTATAGAAATAAAATCCCAAAATCTGAGATTTCTTTGACATCACTCATATTAAATAAGCAAACAATTATACAAATAAATTTATTCAACAGTCTTCTTAAAAATAAAATATTTATGCAAAGAAACAAAGAAAAGAAAGATATAAAAGAAAAAGCCAATTAAAAAATATTTCAAAAAAAAGAGTGAAAAAGCCTTCAAACAAGCAGCTTTAAGATCTTCACAAATTGATCCTTCTTTCGTAAGGATAATGTAGTGTACCGACATCTTTGCTCTTATTACCGCATCAAAAGAAAATCTTCCATCATCAGGGATCACTACAATACCGATAGCTCCACTATTTTCAAGTTGAGTAAGAGCCCCATCCAACTCTCGAATGATCTTAGGCCCTGTGATGAATAATAGTTACTGTCGCAAATCATAATAAAATTAAACGGCACGACTCCCCGAAAGTTATTTACCCGCCAACACATTTCCCTGAGACAGTAATTTCAACATGCTATCTCATCTACAACACATTTATTCGATAAGACATATATTTGACAGCACATGTTTTCGACAGTCTTTTCTTAGACAATAAATTTTCCCGAAAATTATTCTCCAACATATAATTCTAACCAGCACTAACTCTAAATCAGCTAACCTAAAGCTGAATCAGGCCAATTTTATGTCGATGAAATGATTGTCGGAGGTATGTTTTGTATAAGAAAAGGATTTTCGAAAACATGTAATGTCAAAAATGTCTTATCGAAAATATGTGTTGTAGATAAATAACATGTTGGCATTACAGAGTCGGGGAAATGTGTTGACTGGTAAATAACTTTCGGGGAATTGAGCGACAACCAATTAAACCCGTTTATACTCTCCTAATAAAAATCTTATCTCTAAATCTTAATCAAAATTTCATTTAAACCTGATTTTATTTTAGCCTGCCGCACTCATTACTCATATTACTCATTAATAGACACTAAAGTGAATATTCAATACTAAAATTGAATTACCTATTGGATGCACCCAAGCCTTGCATTGAATTACAAAATTCATACAATATAAGCGTCCACGTATATCAATTCCCCCGTCATTGTTACCACTAAAAAGTAAACGATAAAAATAAGTACATAAATCATAATCGTCAGAAAATCAAGAAGAACGTTCACAATTAAAAAAAAACAAAAAAAATTATGGCCACGAAGAGCTTTCGATTCATTGATTCGTGTATCCTATTCACCATAAATCCTGACAGCGTCAAACCCAGCATTTCAGGACACCGGAAACTGGAAGAACGTTCACGGCCAAAACCGTGGCCCGAAGTGCTTTCAATTCCAGACATTTTACTCCGATAGTGGCAGCGTAACTTCGGATACACAACGATTCACATGTAACTCAGTGAGAATACTCACCCAGTGTGTCTACATCTAATCCTATCAAATCTCAACTTAATTGTAATTTCCAATTCGAAGATCAAACCTATCGAGGATGAAGGTAACGATATCGCCATTTTTTTTAAATAAAAAAATATATAAGTATATGTAATTATAATAATAATGCATGTATAGTATTACTTAAATATCAAATAGTCATCACCCCTTTTGTGAGAATTTTTCGATTCATTATTAAGAGAACGTGTTAGAAGCTAATTTTGGAATCGTTGAAAAATTTTTTTTATAACCTCGCATATCAAAACTTGCTTAATTTAGGAATCAGGCGCATACCTGATACAGGTTATATTTGCATCTGAAGTGATACAAACCAAAAAGGAGAAGATCAATGATTTTCTATGGCAATAACGATAAGAAATTCAGTCGAGAAACGTCATCTCTTTGAAATTTAATATATATATATTGGACTATGCTGGCAGATTGTTTTCAAGCCGGAGGCGATTTTATTATAATAATAGATGGTGTAGTACATGGTTTAAAACAAGTAGTTGGCCAATAATGGGCAGGACGGCAATGACATCCCGAAAAATTGGCATAAATATTGTGCTGGGAGTCGCCGTAGAATTAATAAACCCACCTGTCGAAGAAAGCTGGCTGTGAGTAGAGACAAGCAAGAAATATGAGTAGAGAAATGGTATAATCACATGGTCGGTATGTTTTTTTTTATGTGTATAAATTTCATCCTACCCTTTTTTTTCATTGCTGCATATAACGGTGTGACTGAGCCTATTCCAAAGGTAATGAATGGTTGGCGCAGTCTACACGTTGTGTGCAATCATAATGGGTGTGTCTGAGTTTCATCGGCCAATTTTTTGGATCATGATTAATTGAACGCCTGATACGTCAGCGTTAGGTAGGGTTGTGCGAAGCTTGTTGCAGAACCAACGTTTGGTTGCCCATGAACCATTGGCCTTAATGAACAGTGTTTCTTTTCCAGGTGCGTAGTTTAGGTTTGTACTTTGGATAATGTATGCTTTGAGCGATTTGATGGGACATAATTTGTCCATAGTTGGTTTATTATTAATGACGTTCTGTTTGCTGTTTTGTTCTCGCGAGCCGAATTGTTGCAAATGTTGTGGAGTCTATTGTTTCGAGTCTTAGTGAGCTTAATCGTGGAGCTTTGCTTTCATCGGATTTGCAATTTGGTAGGAGTTCCCCAAAGCGTGCCAACCCATAAAAGTCTGTTAGTGCCACTGTCCAGAAAAGGATGTCATCTGGTTCTTTGAATTTCAACGTATTTCTTATTTGGTTTAAGTGAATTCTTGTAATATGCATTTTCTGTCTCACCGGTTTGTGATTGTGGTTGGCAAATTGTTTTAAGCATTTCTCTTACTAATGGGTCATTGCGGACTGATGTCCTCGTGTGGTGGAATTCTAATGCTGACAAGAATGAGTTGATTGCTGGGGAGACACTTTGTTGTTCAGTAGTTTATAAATTTGATTAATTATTCTCTTGATGTGCGCCATATGTTACCATTATTGTCTTTCCAATGGTGCTTATTGGCTAGTTTGTTATATCATTTAATTATTGTTTCATATGTCTTGTGTTTTGTGGATTCAACGTTTAAGATCTTTGCAGCTTGTTGGTCTAATGGTACATTTCCATTAAAGCTATTTGATTTGTCTTCATGTATCTTTTCTTTCTGGTTAGTTAGTTGCCTTAGATCTATTGAAATAGTTATGAATAAAAGAAACTTTGTTAGTATATTCTGAAGGAACGACAGGTTGAAGGTATCTTTCTATAGGATTTTTAATTAAATATTCTTTGTGTCCACATCGTGACAATAAATCTACTCTAATGGTTTGTTTTCCTGCAATGTGTTCAAGTCTAAATAAGAAGTTTCTTTGTATTTTATATATTTTTTTGTGATAATTTTATTAATTTTTAGGTTTTTACAAAATCCTGAATAATATGCTCCTGCGTTAGCCATATTATCAGTTCATATAATTAGCTTTTTCTTGATCACAGAGGTGAAAATGTGTAGATAACTATCAGCATTATTAATAAATTTCTTTTTTGAATATCATCATGCGTAAATTAGAGACACCAGACAGATGCGATCACATAATATACGCATAAAATGTGATTAATTTTTACTAAATTTAGGTCATTTATGTGACATTATGCGGTGAATTTTAAGCGAATAATATTTGCACCATACATAATGTGATAATTATGAATTTATTAATGAAAAAAAAATATGTAGTGATAAATCAAAGTTAGAACGATATAAAATATGTATAAGGTTCCTCACATAAATATCGCACAATTTGAATTTATCACATCACACCACGATGCGTTTCTAATCGCATAATCTGGGGTCTCTAGCGTAAATGTTTCATAGTTAGACCACCTGAATAATGTAAAATAGTTTTCAAATGTGGTTCCACTTCCGATATTGGATGCATCTGTATAAAGGTTGCATATTTCTGATTATTGCCATATTTGATCCTCCATTAGATAGGCGCCAAGCCATGTTTCTATTATATTGGTCCACCAGTGAATGTCTTCACTCATAGGACTGATTATTCTTACATGATGGTTGAGGCCCTTAACTGTTTTTTGTGTTTTTATAAAGCGTTGCACAAATGATCTTTCTTGTGGAAGTATTTGACACCTTACATCAGGGATCCAATGATTAATTTTTGTAGCACTATCTTTTCATGGCCCTGTCAATAAGTAAGTTTCTTATTTTTTGTTTTTTTTGGAGTGGAAATAAATATGAGCATTGTATTTGTGTTTATTATAATTCCTAAATATGATATACGTGCTGGAACCTTCTAATTTGACTCTTTAAAATGGCATTTGTATCTTATCAAATATTCACAAGAATGTTGAAATTCTCTGGTATTAAGCTAAGTCTAAAGTTTTTGCTAAATTATCGATAATAGGGGTGTGAATCGATTCTAAAAACCGTAATCGATGATCGAATCTCTAAAATCGATTCTAGAATCGATAATAGAGTCTCAAATACATGTTTAGCTCGTAGTTCTGTCTTAAAGGCTAGATCTAGCTCTTTCAATTATTGATGCATTAATATTATGTAAATAGTTTTTTTATAACGTTACAGCATAAGATACTTAAATTTTTTCGCATACATTATGTATAGCCATTTCTAGTAATCTGATTTGCAACAGACATTATTAGAAAAGACAAAAAAATTGCATATAGATTGTAATTTAATACGCAATAATATATATTGCTGTAATTCGTAATTTAGTAATTTTGCACCATGTATATTACAAGGTACTGTACCTAAGTAATCCATGTGTTTAAGTTTTAAGCAATGTAATCTACTTATAAATGCTTTGTCATATAGTTGATTTAATGCAAATCTAATCTAATACATAACATTTTATTCTCCTACTCAAGCTGCTAATTGGTTACTCTATTTTTAGAATCGATTTTAAAAATACGAAATCGTTTCTAGATTCGATTATAACGATTTAACAAAAATGTGAATCGCGATTAATGATTAACCCGATTATTATAAAATCGATTCACACCCCTAATCGATAACCATAAGTAGCTGCGCGACGTTGTCACGCAAAACCAGGAACGGAATGTGGATTTTCAGATCGAGTTTCAGATGAAACTGCTTTCGTCATAAGTTTTTTGTTTGCTTAACTCTTATAAGTTTTATTTGCAAGTTAGATTAGATTATATGTGCAGTAGTTCGAATACTAACTATGTTATTTAGGTGAACTTTATATGCAGTTCAGATAGATTAGTATTAGTATAGAATAGATGTAGCATTCTTGCATGTATATAGTTTTTTTAAAATAAATTATTTACTTTTGTTGTTATATTATTTCATGTAACTGATAAATATAAGAAACATTTGTTAATGGGTATATTTAAAATAAATTATTTATACTAGATTAATCTTGTTGTATTTTAGTTGGCAAATTTTATAATTGATTTGTTAAGTATCTGAGTATTTTATATTTACAAGTGCAATTAATCCGTCCTTAGTATCTGAGGCACTTTATATTCTAGGCTTCTGAAAATCATGAGGAGTATTATAAAAGATGTCTTTTAGTCTATGCTATACAGTGATTTGTGATTAAACATAAGTGTAAAAGGCAGTGAATCAAACATTTAATAGGTTAGTAAAGTGATAAATAGATCAATTCTTAAGTGTACATTTAAAAAATATATACCTTTGAAGTATTGAACTTAGAATAACTAAAATGAATGAATACAGTTAGATGAAATTTATCATTTTTTAGATAAACTCTGTAGCATATTCTAACAGTATATAGGTTCGATTAAAATTTAATTATGGCTAAATATTTATTGCAATAAACCTCTAATTATACAATCTCTCAAATGCACTCTTAAATCCTAGCTCAAATATATAATTTATCTTCATAAGCACTTTTTATTATTTTCCAAGCATCTCTTATAAAAGTCAAGTCTTTATAAAAGTTACTTAGAGAGTTTTAACTATAGTACAATTCTAATTAATTTAAGAATTATTATAATTTATC